TTTCCCGGCGCAACGCGTTGGCTCCCTAATCACCGTCATCACGCTCGGTTAGCGTGGAATATCATTGTAGTCGATCGCTATCCTACCCGCGAATTCAATTCGTTAGTCGCCGAATTCCGCGCATAAACCACGTGAGCCTTCACAGTTTCCCGGAGCGACGCGTTGGCTCCCTAATCACCGTCATCACGCTCGGTTAGCGTGGAATATCATTGTAGTCGATCGCTATCCTACCCGCGAATTCAATTCGTCAGTCGCCGAATTCCGCGCATAAACCGCGTGAGCCATTTCAGTTTCCCGGCGCAACGCGTTGGCTCCCTAATCACCGTCATCACGCTCGGTTAGCGTGGAATATCATTGTAGTCGATCGCTATCCTACCCGCGAATTCAATTCGTTAGTCGCCGAATTCCGCGCATAAACCACGTGAGCCTTCACAGTTTCCCGGAGCGACGCGTTGGCTCCCTAATCACCGTCATCACGCTCGGTTAGCGTGGAATGTCATTGCAGTCAATCGCCACCCTACCCGCGAATTCAATTCGTTAGTCGCCGAATTCCGCGCATAAACCGCGTGAGCCATTTCAGTTTCCCGGCGCAACGCGTTGGCTCCCTAATCACCGTCATCACGCTCGGTTAGCGTGGAATATCATTGTAGTCGATCGCTATCCTACCCGCGAATTCAATTCGTTAGTCGCCGAATTCCGCGCATAAACCACGTGAGCCTTCACAGTTTCCCGGAGCGACGCGTTGGCTCCCTAATCACCGTCATCACGCTCGGTTAGCGTGGAATATCATTGTAGTCGATCGCTATCCTACCCGCGAATTCAATTCGTCAGTCGCCGAATTCCGCGCATAAACCGCGTGAGCCATTTCAGTTTCCCGGCGCAACGCGTTGGCTCCCTAATCACCGTCATCACGCTCGGTTAGCGTGGAATATCATTGTAGTCGATCGCTATCCTACCCGCGAATTCAATTCGTTAGTCGCCGAATTCCGCGCATAAACCGCGTGAGCCACTTCAGTTTCCCGGCGCAACGCGTTGGCTCCCTAATCACCGTCATCACGCTCGGTTAGCGTGGAATATCATTGTAGTCGATCGCTATCCTACCCGCGAATTCAATTCGTTAGTCGCCGAATTCCGCGCATAAACCACGTGAGCCTTCACAGTTTCCCGGAGCGACGCGTTGGCTCCCTAATCACCGTCATCACGCTCGGTTAGCGTGGAATGTCATTGCAGTCAATCGCCACCCTACCCGCGAATTCAATTCGTTAGTCGCCGAATTCCGCGCATAAACCGCGTGAGCCATTTCAGTTTCCCGGCGCAACGCGTTGGCTCCCTAATCACCGTCATCACGCTCGGTTAGCGTGGAATATCATTGTAGTCGATCGCTATCCTACCCGCGAATTCAATTCGTTAGTCGCCGAATTCCGCGCATAAACCACGTGAGCCTTCACAGTTTCCCGGAGCGACGCGTTGGCTCCCTAATCACCGTCATCACGCTCGGTTAGCGTGGAATATCATTGTAGTCGATCGCTATCCTACCCGCGAATTCAATTCGTCAGTCGCCGAATTCCGCGCATAAACCGCGTGAGCCATTTCAGTTTCCCGGCGCAACGCGTTGGCTCCCTAATCACCGTCATCACGCTCGGTTAGCGTGGAATATCATTGTAGTCGATCGCTATCCTACCCGCGAATTCAATTCGTTAGTCGCCGAATTCCGCGCATAAACCGCGTGAGCCACTTCAGTTTCCCGGCGCAACGCGTTGGCTCCCTAATCACCGTCATCACGCTCGGTTAGCGTGGAATGTCATTGTAGTCAATCGCCATCCTACCCGCGAATTCAATTCCTTAGTCGCCGAATTCCGCGCATAAACCGCGTGAGCCATTTCAGTTTCCCGGTGCAACGCGTTGGCTCCCTAATCACCGTCATCACGCTCGGTTAGCGTGGAATATCATTGTAGTCGATCGCTATCCTACCCGCGAATTCAATTCGTTAGTCGCCGAATTCCGCGCATAAACCACGTGAGCCTTCACAGTTTCCCGGCGCAACGCGTTGGCTCCCTAATCAGCGTCATCACGCTCGGTTAGCGTGGAATATCATTGTAGTCGATCGCTATCCTACCCGCGAATTCAATTCGTTAATCGCCGAATTCCGCGCATAAACCACGTGAGCCTTTACAGTTTCCCGGCGCGACGCGTTGGCTCCCTAATCACCGTCATCACGCTCGGATAGCGTGGAATATCATTGTAGTCGATCGCTATCCTACCCGCAAATTCAATTCGTTAGTCGCCGAATTCCGCGCATAAACCACGTGAGCCTTTACAGTTTCCTGGCGCGACGCGTTGGCTCCCTAATCACCGTCATCACGCTCGGTTTGCGTGGAATATCATTGTAGTCGATCGCAATCCTACCCGCGAATTCACTTCGTTAGTCGCCGAATTTCGCGAATAAACCGCGTGAGCCATATCAGTTTCTGCCGCGACGCGTTGGCTCCCTACTTCCTAATCACCGTCACCACGGTTGCAAATTTTCGTAAAACAACTCGAATGCCTTGATCAAAAAATAGAAATATGAAATTGGAATTTATTAACGGTGGCACAGACGCGCCCTTTTAGTCGCCTTTTACGACAAGCAGGGATACTATGGGCGTATTCTACATCCCCCCGCCCATAGGGGGTGATTTGAGACGATAACAAATACAACACAAATGATACAATACAAATGTATAGTACAATACCAATAAAATATGATAAGTTGAATGTTTTAATTGTTTTTAGATAATATCATTTTATTTTTATTGATGAACAAGTAATTATCAGGGTTGGGTTATCGTAGAAAATTATTTGTCTATGTAGGTAAATCTTGTTTTGTCATTGTACAAATTTCCTTGAATGCAATAATTTAAACATTTAAGTAAAATGGAAGCTAATAAAAAATAGTAAAAAGAATAACGATAAAAATTAATTTAAAAAAAAAAAAAAAGCGCGTGACTTTACTTGGTAATATAGCAATCAATTTGATTTAAATGATTTAATTTAATTTGATTGGAAAACAACATATAATGTCAGTTCAGAATGACGTAGTTATACTTGATGACGTCATTTGTAGACAAAATGTAATATAATTTGCAATTTAACATGTTCGCTACCAGAGTCACATACATATATCTACCATCATATTTTGTATCATATGTTTTAAAACACCTGCAATTTAGAGTCTGTCACAAAATCCAGAAAATAATATAATATAATAATATGCATAGTCTATAGTAATATTTCTTTGTTTTATGTTATTTCATAGTATAAGAAAAGAAATAGTCTATGATGGACAAATTTCTAATTAAGTGCTATTATTGAACATGTTAAATTGTCAACAGATATCTAGTGAGCATAGTGACTGCAAAAAGTAGTGAAAAAGATATTAATATGTACTTAAATCAGAATTGAAGGATGACTTTCCATAAAAAGAAGGAAAGACATCCTTTGGTGATGTGCGATGATGTCCCACGATGTCCCACGACGATCTTCTTTCTTCGACTACTCAATGAATCAGCTCAAAGATTCCATAAAAATGAGAAATATATTGAAAATGAGTGTTACACACAACGACCAACTATTAAATAGAATAGCTGTCCGAAGCATGCAACAAAAAAAAAGGAATTTTTGAGCAGATTTCATTGAAGTAGTCCTTTTTCGTCCGGGCCTAGAGCCACGGGCGAGCTTACATACTAGGTATAGACCAAGATTTAATCAAAATCAATTAACTGAAAAGTAATTGATTCCGATTATGCTACCCCAGGTGCAGACTTTTCACCGGACCTATAAGCCTACCCGAAAGAGAAATGTGATCGGTCTGCTTTCCTGGCCCTTCCTACTTACAACTAAATCACACACACCAGAAGTAAGCTACCTGCCTGCCTATCCCTATATTTAAAAAAGCAAAATTCATTCATTCCAACACACACACTCCACGGTACTCACACACAACACCCGGGTGCAAGCCTACCCTAGAGAGAACGTCCCGGGACGCCTCCGTCACCCAAGCTTGTAACACACACATTTATACTTGATGTACGTACCATTTCCTGAAATCGACTGACAACGTAGCGTACATTGCGTTATTATTAATATAATATTAATGTATTGTGTCACATAAAACTCTTATTGGAATGTAAAATTATTTATGCTATAATACTGACTTTGAGTCATTCTGTTCTTGATAAAACTAAGTATAGTAATAATTAGTATTTCATTGATTTAAAAAAAGAATATGGTATTCAAATGGTATATTTTCTTCATATATTGTAAAATATTATTATGATTTTTATACATGAAATATTCTCAAGCAAGCATCGATTCAATGTAATATGATTGTATGATATTATACATACAGCATGTAATATGAAAAATATTGATTAGACATGTAACATATTTATCCTGTATGTATTTATATAAACTATTTAAGTTGAATAATAAAATCGACGTACATTCCACTAATTTAAACACACACACACATGTGAAACGTACATCGTGCACGATACGCTAATACGTTTGTCAATCGCTGTAATATTCCTTAATTCTAAAACCGTACCCACCGCCCTTACCCATACAACGCACACCTGGGTTTGTTGATGAGCTCAGGCTAATAAGTAATGAATACGGGCAAAGAAATAATACACCTACCGTGTGAAGCTGAAAATCCTAAGCTAAAATGATACATTAGTCGATAGTAAAGCTAACGGGCTAATAAACATTTTAATTTTGAAAGTAAATTATTATGTAAAACTTTCTTATATTAGAACTATGATTTTCTTTGAATTAATAAAATTGAACTTAATTAGAATAAAATATTAAAAAATGATTCTGTATGAAATACAAAACTCCAATTATTAAACATTGAAATTAAAAAACTTTAAATAAATTGTATTTAATTATAGCAAAAAACAAATATGTAAAAAAATCACTCTAAGCAAAAAAAACACAAATATATAAAAAAATCACTCTACTTTAAGCAAAAATTGTATCTGTTGAAAATGCAATTTGATAATTAATATACATGTAATACATCCTCGGTTGATTGCATGTCGAAGTAAATTATCTAAGTTGCATGAAACGTACATTCGAAAATGTTACTTCGACGTTAGAATCTAACCGTCGCGAAATGTCTTCTTGCTCATAAAACTTATTTAAATCGACAATATAATAATATACTGCATTGAAATATTATAGTATAATCAAGGTATTGTAGCAAATCTACGTAATATTTACTGCATATAAAATATACAAATTTTGTATACACTATCAAAATTTAAATTTCCTTTAATTAAAAAAATATTTTAAAAGTTATATTTTATTTGTGAAGTCGGAGAGTCATCCGACTTCTATCCTACAAACTATTTTTTTAAAAGAGACAAGAAGACCCTAGCCTGAACTAAGAAATATAACAATATAAAAATGAAAGAAGATATGAAATATATGTAACATATATATTCCATGAGTATACATTCACTCATGGGTCACTATGCTCACTTAAAAAAAGAATGAAATTTTTAATTCTTTGGGCTCACCGAACCGGTGAGCAGCTATTGGAAGAAAAGTGGACGAAAACACCCGGCGGATGGTCTCCTCAGGAAATGGTCTCCTCAGCAGATTGATGTTATAGAGTAGTATAATAGGCAGAGTGTTGGCATACTGGCATTGGTTGATAATTCTGTAATTAAAAAACAATAATATTACATTTGTGCCATTTTAAATTTACCATAATAATTTATTGTAACTACTTAATAATAAAACTTACATTTATTTTGGCGAAGATTCATTTAATAATTTCATATCATACTTGTGATGTTGTATTCTTTATTCGACTGCAATTCTGTAATAAAACAGACAACGATTTTTCACATATATACTTCAGTGGAACATCATATATATTCAATCAATCAATCATAATTTCAAAAAATCTCCATATCCTCAAAACATAAATTTTTGAATAAATATTTTTTAATTCTTTAATATTAATCAAATTTGCATGCCTATTATATTAATAAGCGTGTCTATCGCCGTATAAAAGTTAATTCTGAATTGTGATAATGTAATAATCAACAAATACGAAAGCTTCAACAATGGCTGGAATAAGTGAGAAATTTGAATTTCCCGCTATAAAGTATCGAAGATTATCGACGCCATATTGAAATAAAGTCAAAATTACTTTTCCCATCTTAAAAAACCAAAATATAGAAAATAAGGCAGAAAACAATATAAGATATCAATGGTGCTTAAGAAATTATTGATATAAAAGCAGAATCAATGAAGAAAATTCTATTTTAATTCGTATTTATATCGGCGTAATAGTAAAAAACAATAAATAATGGGAAAAATGTACTAAAAACATGAAAAAATGCAATAATATTCGAGAAATTATTGATATAAAGGGAAAATAATTCAAATTCTACTGTTCAAATTTCATTGTGAATTCACGGCAAGAGCAAAAAATTTAATCTCACGTATTTTTGAAGAAAACGTCGAATTAATGTCAAAAAACAAAGAGTTCGACTTCTCTTCGGCTATTCTTTCTCTTTTTTGTATTTTCAATACCCGAAAGACAATATATTTTAATGTTTGAAGATAATTTAACCTTACCTGTTGCAGATGCGTGCAAAGCGAACGTGGCTTCGAAGAGGAATGACGCAATGCGCCACAAATCGACGCACTCGCTCACGCAGCGACGTGTCTGATTGGTCGAAATGAGAAGACGCAGAATGGATTGTCCAATCACAGCCATTGGTTTCGGAATGCTTCGAAACTGTAATGCTAATCGTAAGGGAAAGGGAACGGAATCGTTAAAAATTATCAACGCCATATTGAAATAACGTCAAGATTGCTTTTCTCAATTTTAAACACCAAAATATAGAAAACAAAGCAGAAAAAACGTAAGATATTGACGGGATTTAAGAAATTATTGATATAAAAGCAGAATAAATGATGAAAATGCTATTTTAATTCGTATTTATATCGGCGTAATAGTAAAAAACGAGAAAATCAATTATCACGATATATAACAATAAATAATGGGAAAAATGTACTAAAAACATGAAAAAATGCAATAATATTCGAGAAATTATTGATATAAAGGGAAAATAATTCAGATTCTACTGTTCAAATTTCATTGTGAATTCACGGCAAGAGCAAAAAATTTCATCTCACGTATTTTTGAAGAAAACGTCGAATTAATGTCAAAAAACAAAGAGTTGGACTTCTCTTCTGCTATTCTTTCTCATTTTTGTATTTTCAACACCCGAAACACAATTTATTCTAATGTTTGAAGATAATTTAACCTTACCTGTTGCAGACACGTGCAAAGCGAACGAAGTTTCGAAAACGAATGTTCGGTTATGCTACAAGTCTGTGCACGCACCCGCGCAGCGATGAATCTGATTGGTCGAAATGAGAAGACGCAGAATGGATTGTCCAATCACAGCCATTGGTTTCGGAATGCTTCGAAACTGTAATGCTAATCGTAAGGGAAAGGGAAGGGAATCGTTAAAAATTATCAACGCCATATTGAAATAACGTCAAGATTGCTTTTCTCAATTTTAAACACCAAAATATAGAAAACAAAGCAGAAAAAACGTAAGATATTGACGGGATTTAAGAAATTATTGATATAAAAGCAAAATAAATGATGAAAATGCTATTTTAATTCGTATTTATATCGGCGTAATAGTAAAAAACGAGAAAATCGATTATCACGATATATAACAATAAATAATGGGAAAAATGTACTAACAACATGAAAAAATGCAATAATATTCGAGAAATTATTGATATAAAGGGAAAATAATTCAGATTCTACTGTTCAAATTTCATTGTGAATTCACGGCAAGAGCAAAAAATTTCATCTCACGTATTTTTGAAGAAAACGTCGAATTAATGTCAAAAAACAAAGAGTTGGACTTCTCTTCTGCTATTCTTTCTCATTTTTGTATTTTCAACACCCGAAACACAATTTATTCTAATGTTTGAAGATAATTTAACCTTACCTGTTGCAGACACGTGCAAAGCGAACGAAGTTTCGAAAACGAATGTTCGGTTATGCTACAAGTCTGTGCACGCACCCGCGCAGCGATGAATCTGATTGGTCGAAATGAGAAGACGCAGAATGGATTGTCCAATCACAGCCATTGGTTTCGGAATGCTTCGAAACTGTAATGCTAATCGTAAGGGAAAGGGAAGGGAATCGTTAAAAATTATCAACGCCATATTGAAATAACGTCAAGATTGCTTTTCTCAATTTTAAACACCAAAATATAGAAAACAAAGCAGAAAAAACGTAAGATATTGACGGGATTTAAGAAATTATTGATATAAAAGCAGAATAAATGATGAAAATGCTATTTTAATTCGTATTTATATCGGCGTAATAGTAAAAAACGAGAAAATCAATTATCACGATATATAACAATAAATAATGGGAAAAATGTACTAAAAACATGAAAAAATGCAATAATATTCGAGAAATTATTGATATAAAGGGAAAATAATTCAGATTCTACTGTTCAAATTTCATTATGAATTCACGGCAAGAGCAAAAAATTTCATCTCACGTATTTTTGAAGAAAACGTCGAATTAATGTCAAAAAACAAAGAGTTGGACTTCTCTTCGGCTATTCTTTCTCATTTTTGTATTTTCAACACCCGAAACACAATTTATTCTAATGTTTGAAGATAATTTAACCTTACCTGTTGCAGACACGTGCAAAGCGAACGAAGTTTCGAAAACGAATGTTCGGTTATGCTACAAGTCTGTGCACGCACCCGCGCAGCGATGAATCTGATTGGTCGAAATGAGAAGACGCAGAATGGATTGTCCAATCACAGCCATTGGTTTCGGAATGCTTCGAAACTGTAATGCTAATCGTAAGGGAAAGGGAAGGGAATCGTTAAAAATTATCAACGCCATATTGAAATAACGTCAAGATTGCTTTTCTCAATTTTAAACACCAAAATATAGAAAACAAAGCAGAAAAAACGTAAGATATTGACGGGATTTAAGAAATTATTGATATAAAAGCAGAATAAATGATGAAAATGCTATTTTAATTCGTATTTATATCGGCGTAATAGTAAAAAACGAGAAAATCAATTATCACGATATATAACAATAAATAATGGGAAAAATGTACTAAAAACATGAAAAAATGCAATAATATTCGAGAAATTATTGATATAAAGGGAAAATAATTCAGATTCTACTGTTCAAATTTCATTATGAATTCACGGCAAGAGCAAAAAATTTCATCTCACGTATTTTTGAAGAAAACGTCGAATTAATGTCAAAAAACAAAGAGTTGGACTTCTCTTCGGCTATTCTTTCTCATTTTTGTATTTTCAACACCCGAAACACAATTTATTCTAATGTTTGAAGATAATTTAACCTTACCTGTTGCAGACACGTGCAAAGCGAACGAAGTTTCGAAAACGAATGTTCGGTTATGCTACAAGTCTGTGCACGCACCCGCGCAGCGATGAATCTGATTGGTCGAAATGAGAAGACGCAGAATGGATTGTCCAATCACAGCCATTGGTTTCGGAATGCTTCGAAACTGTAATGCTAATCGTAAGGGAAAGGGAAGGGAATCGTTAAAAATTATCAACGCCATATTGAAATAACGTCAAGATTGCTTTTCTCAATTTTAAACACCAAAATATAGAAAACAAAGCAGAAAAAACGTAATATATTGACGTGATTTAAGAAATTATTGATATGAAAGCAGAATAAATGATGAAAATGCTGTTTTAATTCGTATTTATATCGGCGTAATAGTAAAAAACGAGAAAATCAATTATCACGATATATAACAATAAATAATGGGAAAAATGTACTAAAAACATGAAAAAATGCAATAATATTCGAGAAATTATTGATATAAAGGGAAAATAATTCAGATTCTACTGTTCAAATTTCATTGTGAATTCACGGCAAGAGCAAAAAATTTCATCTCACGTATTTTTGAAGAAAACGTCGAATTAATGTCAAAAAACAAAGAGTTGGACTTCTCTTCGGCTATTCTTTCTCATTTTTGTATTTTCAACACCCGAAACACAATTTATTCTAATGTTTGAAGATAATTTAACCTTACCTGTTGCAGACACGTGCAAAGCGAACGAAGTTTCGAAAACGAATGTTCGGTTATGCTACAAGTCTGTGCACGCACCCGCGCAGCGATGAATCTGATTGGTCGAAATGAGAAGACGTAGAATGGATTGTCCAATGACAGCCATTGGTTTCGGAATGCTTCGAAACTGTAATGCTAATCGTAAGAGAAAGGGAAGGGAATCGTTAAAAATTATCAACGCCATATTGAAATAAAGTCAAGATTGCTTTTCTCAATTTTAAACACCAAAATATAGAAAACAAAGCAGAAAAAACGTAAGATATTGACCGGATTTAAGAAATTATTGATATAAAAGCAGAATAAATGATGAAAATGCTATTTTAATTCGTATTTATATCGGCGTAATAGTACAAAACGAGAAAATCAATTATCACGATATATAACAATAAATAATGGGAAAAATGTACTAAAAACATGAAAAAATGCAATAATATTCGAGAAATTATTGATATAAAGGGAAAATAATTCAAATTCTACTGTTCAAATTTCATTGTGAATTCACGGCAAGAGCAAAAAATTTCATCTCACGTATTTTTGAAGAAAACGTCGAATTAATGTCAAAAAACAAAGAGTTAGACTTCTCTTCGGCTATTCTTTCTCTTTTTTGTATTTTCAACACCCGAAACACAATTTATTGTAATGTTTGAAGATAATTTAATCTCACCTGCTGTAGAAGAGTGCAAAACGGACGAAGCTTCGAAGAGGAATGCTGCACGATGCTACAAGCTGTGCACTCACCCACAGAGCAACGACTCTGATTGGGCGAAATGTCAGCACGCCGAATGGTACAACCAATCACCGCCATTTCTGGAAGTTTCAAAGTGCTTCTCAACTTTAATAATAACCGTAACGGAAACGTTCATATAATAAATACAAGCGAAAAAATTAAATAATGTACTTTTTTAGCAACACCCATCTTGTATTACCGTTTTATATTATTGTAATTATGTAATAAATAAAGGGGGATATTACTTTAATAACACTTTCCTATGGCATGATTTTGCTTAAAAATATTTAAGAACATATTATTTTAGATATAAATTCTGACACTTATGTGCAATGTATGCATAAGCGAAATGTTAATACGTACAAAAATTATATTCAACCAAAAAAGCATAGAAATTTCACCAGCTAGTGAAAATATTGTAGGAAATACTGATCAAAGATAAAGAAAAATTCAATAAGCTCATAATAGTTTGTGGGGATTTTAGCTTGCAAATCAATAACCACAATCAAGTATAAAAGAATTAGTAACAGAAAGAACAAATTTAACACACAGCAAAAAAGCAGAAGATATTGCATTAAATTGTACAGGAAGATGCTATGACAAGCAATGGAATAAATTGGCTTGATAATACTAGATAGATACAATCACGTTTCAAGAAAAAGGAGGTATTTAAATAATATTAATGGAAGTTTCATTTATCAATAAAAATCAAATGGAAAATCAATAAAGTGAAGGACAATGCAAAAGATGAAGTTGACACAGTGAATAGAAGACTCATTTGAAATAATATAAAGTATAATCAATACCTAAACATATTAGCAACCTTAGTAACAATGACTGAAGGACCAATAAAAACTTTCAATAACATAATTGCAGAAATGAAAATAGGCACAAACAGATCTATTGATTAGTAAAGTTGATTGTAAACATATTAGCAACCTTAGTAACATTGACTGAAGGACCAATAAAAACTTTCAATAACATAATTGCAAAAATGAAAATAGGCATAAACAGATCTGTTGATTAGCGATAATAATGCATAAAAAAGGGAAATAAGGCACAGATCAAGAGAAATAAGCCATGGTTTGATTAAAAATTATGCAAATCTTGTAGGAAGATATAGAACAAATCAAAATTAACAACATTCTGTGTACACAAAAAGCAAATGAAAAGCTTCTCCTTACAATTAATCAACAAAATATAACATTGTCTTACCATCTTTCTCTCTGGCATCAAACTTATATTGAATACTATTGTATTAATACTATTACATTAAATATAACATAAATTTAAAGGATAGGAAAGCTTCATATACTCTTGTATTATCTGCTGAATGTACAATAGAAAACTGTATGTTATTATATAAAATGCTCTCAATCGATATGAACAAATGAGTGATTATTCTGATTTTGTTTGGCTGTGTAACACAGGATGACTGAAATTTGGTTTATTTTGCCTAAAATGCTGCTTTTTAAAAAATCTATTAATCTCCCCTACCTCCTCTTGTAATTTATATAAAATATCTGTGCCTTGTCATAAATATTAAAAGGCCACAGCTAATTGTAAATATACTAACATAAGTATCAACACTGTACTTACCCTTACATTTAAATGAAGATTATATTAAGCAAAATGTATATATATAATACATATAATATAATATAATACAATAACCATAAAATATAAATACAGAGAAATAATAATGAAGTGTAAAAGAACTAACAAAATATGTATCTTTATTTTTCAACCAAATCATTATGTAAAAAACTGTTATATTGGGACCATATTTTTTCTATGTTAATAAAATTGCATTCAACGAGGACAATAAAAGATTCAAAAATAATTCTATTTTAAATAAGAGACTCTAATTTTGAACAATGTAATAAAATAATTGATATTTATTCATAAATACTGATATTAATAATCATAATAATAAAAAATGCTGATATATGTATGTAGTTATGTAAAAACTACTTGCATTCTAATTATGTAATCTAATCAAACTCTAATCAAAGTATATTTAATTATAAAAAAGAAGTAGAGTTTTTATTCTCTTACTCACCAAACTAACAACCAGATATTGAAGGATAGTTGGATGGAAACACTCTGCTGATGATCTCTGTTGGTTGATATTGAGAAATCATATATTAACATTGGTCGACCTTTCTGTAATTATAAAAACAACACTGCATTTACATTGGCAAGGAAAACCTCGAATTAATGTCAGAAATCAGGAATCCAGACTTCTCTTCGGCTATTCTTTCTGTTTTTTGTACTGTCTACACCCGAAAGACAATTTAATGTAATATTTAAAGATAATATAATTTTACCTATTACAGACACGTGCAAAAAGAACGAAGCTTCGAAGAGGAATGCTGCACTACGCTACAAGACTCCACACACACCCACACAGCGACGAATCTGATTGGGCGAAATGAGTGCACGCTGAATGGAACAACCAATCACCGCCATTTCTGGAAGTTTCGAAGTGCTTCAAAACTTTAATACTAATCGTAATGGAAACATTCGATAAAAATTATCGACGCCATATTGAACTATAGTCACGATTACTTTTTTTAGCTAAAAACATCAAAATGTAGGGCCGAAAGTAGAAAAAGAGACATAAGATATCAACGCAATGTACGAAATTCTCCATATAAAAGCAGAATGAATGAAGGAAATATTATTTTATAACAATTAAATTAATTATAACAATTTAGAATGATGATCTTACGAACACTGTGTTATGTATAAAATTAATATGTCTCTGTATAATAAGGAGGCTAAAAAAATACATTATTCAGTTTTTCTTTTGTATTTATTATTTTAACGTTTATTTTACGTTAGTTTTAAAGTTTTGCACTACATGCGTTTTTTCCACCAATGGCAGTTTTTTGTCATTTAATTTCGACCAATTAGAATCGTCGCTACCGGCTAGTGTACAAGAACGCCACTTCCTTGTGAAGCTTCGTCCTGAGTGCACGCGTTTGCAACAAAGTTGCAAACTTTGACATTAAACAGTATTAAAATATTATATTAAATTGTGTATTAAGTATCAGCAGTACAAAGAACACAAAACAAAATTGATGAGAAGGCCGGAGTCATGATTTCTGACATCAATTCCATATTGTCTTCAGAAATGCGTAAGCTGAAAATTTATATTCTATTCTACCGATATAGATACGAATTAAAATAATATTTTCTTCAATTATTCTGCATTTATCACAATAATTTATTAAATACCAATAGTATCTTATGTTCTTTTCTACTTTCTTTTCAATATTTTGGTTTTCTAGATTGAAAAAAGTAATCTTGACTTTATTTCAATATGGCGTTGATAACGTTTTTACGAACTTTTCTGTTCTTTTAATGTTAAAGTGTCGAAGCAATTCGAAGTTTCTGCCCATGCCTGTGATTGGTTGAACCGTTATGGCGTCCACGTTTTTCGACCAATCAGATTCATCATTGTAAGGCGAAGTGTGCGGAGTGTGGTGTAGTGCATCATTTCTCTTCGAAGCTTCGTTCGTCTCGCACGTGTCTGTGACAGGTAAGATATTATCTTTAAATATTAAATTAAAATGTCTTTCGGGTGTTAGAAATACAAAAAACTAAAAGAAAAGTTGAAGAGAAGTTTAGATTCTTAATTCTTGATTCTCATTTTCTTAAAAAATACGTAAATTGAACATTTTTGCCCTTGTCGCGAATGCACAATGAGGTTGGAACAACAGAATCTGATTTATTTTCCCTTTTGTGTCGTTAATTCCCTAAACATTATTGAATGTCTTTAGTACTGTTCCACACAATTTACTGTTTTATGTTTAATAACATTCTTTCTTGAGCATCGTAATATTTTGGGACTTATTCGCCTTCTTGTTTCGGTATCGGCCGGTAGCGGACGATACTGAACAATACCAAACAGTGCCGATTGCTCTTTGTTGGGAAGGGGTCACGTCATTTCTCTCGCGAACGTCGAATTGATAAGACGTGTTGAAGGCATCCTACTGAGTGGGTAGAACATAGGTATGCGCAGGTTATCTGTTCAAATATTGTGCATAACTTATAAAGTTCGATTATTGGTTAATCATAATTTTATTCCTGTTGGTTAAATTTTATTTACATGAATTTGTATTTTTTATTTGTTACAGATATTTTCCTGATACTGAAAGAATGCCATACGATACGACGCTATGGCATTTGATACTGATTTGAAACACAATTTCGTATAAAATTGGTAACATTTTGATTTATTGTAATCAATTAATAATATTTATTTTACTTTTTTTTTTTATTGAGTCGTTATTAGTTGTAAGCATTTTTGACAATTAATTATTGGTATCAAGGTCAAGGAAGAAAAGATTACAGAAATGTTTTTATCTTTGATTAATTAATAGAAAAAAATAATTAATTTTTCATTTTACTGAATAATTTTAACTAATAGTTTCATAATCTATTTTATTACAAATTAGAACGAAATTGAAACAATTTGTATTTTACTGCAGATAATTGCTTCTCTTCTGCAATTATTTAATTATATTCTGATTACTTTAAACAATCTGTTTTTCTTAAATGATAATAATTATATTATAATATACAGCTTTCGGTGCAAGTTTAAATTAAAATAGAATCATGTTATTAAATTTTATGCTGTTTAAGCATGATTAATTATTGGATTTCGTTTATTGAAAAGAGTTTAGATAATTTATAAATCACGATATAATAGAATTTCCAATAATTTGTAGTATGCTTACAATTCTAACAACAAAAATCGTCTACTTTAATAAAATATTCTAATATACATATTTCTCAAACAATGGTTTTCTATCACTGTAATATTCATTGAAATATTTATCAACAATTGCTTATAACATTTCATTATTACGACATTACCTAGCATGAATATTTAATTGTAACATAATATCAGTATTTCCTTAACGAACGTTCAATAAGAAGAATGTTTTTCTGTATATTTATATCCATCCCAAACCTCCCCACTAATCTTTTCTTCCAGGAATTGTTGTGGCCGCGCGCAAGGCGGTCGGTAGAGTCAGTGTTTGTACGAACGTAGTTCCAATGTTTTGTTTTTTTCAAGGGTGAACTGGCCCTGAATAGAGTTGCGTTTGTACAATTAGGAATCACGCGAAAGTAGAGTCAGTGTTTGCTGTGTATTTTAAAATATTTTCTAGAGCATCGCGGCTCTGATTTTTCTTTTTCCATCGCGAAAATAGAGTCTACAATTGTTCGCCGGAAATTATTCACGGTCGCGTTACTAGTACTTTATATCTTTATTTTTATTTTTAATTTTTTTTTTATTGCTCGATATATCCGGTATTAGAGTCACGGCGCCACTGAAGAGGAGTCTTGGGCGTTGCTCCATAAGGAAAGAGTGTAAGTATTTTATTACTTTATTTAATTAATTTTAATTCAAGTAGAATAATTAACAATTTCAACACTTCATAATTGAGAGTTATTTTTCATTGCTAATATTTGATAAAATCCAAATTTATATATAATTTTATTACAATAAGAATTGATAATTTTCAAAATTAACGGTAATTCCTCTTTTTTTGTTACAGATGAATTTTTGGACTTTGTCGAATTCCTGGATATTCCTGATGGTCTTCTTCACGACTTCAGTCTTCTCCTGTAAGGCAACCTCCTACCTGGTGTGCATCCTCCTACCTAGTTGCTGAGCAACCTTCTACTTGACTGTTGGAAGAAGAGTATATCTGCGAACGGTGAGTCGCATGTTTTATGGTTCCTCTGGTGCCCAATCATGTCGTAGGACGAATGGTCCGAATCGACACGGGTTACCGGTTGTATACGTGGTTTGGCGAACATAGTGACCATGGGTATGATTATACATACTCATGAGTAGTAACATTTTTATTGTTTCATTTCATTTAGTTCAGGCTAGGTTTTCTTGTACACCGCGTTTTAATATCATTTCAATTCCACATATTCCAATAGATATTTATGAAATATATGAATGCTCTTAAATGTTCTTAAATGTGGAATTAGAATATTTGAATACCGAAACAATTTTATTTAGTTTGTCTGTAATAGAGAAGTCAAATACTATCTGACTTAGTTATTGCGATGGTTTAAAGCAATATAATATTGATAGTATTATGTAATATGTATACTGGATATACATATTAATGATGTTATTACATTGATATAATTACATTTTGTATATTATAAGTTTAAATATAATTTGAGAATTTTTTACGAGTAGTTTAACTTATTTACACGTTCATGAAAAAATGAACAATTTATGTGCAAGAAGACAATTCGTGACGGGTAGATTTCCAAGTCAGAGTGATCCATTTCAACACATTTTGCGTATTCTTGAAAATTCACTCTGAGGAGGGAGTCACCCGAGGATGTTTTACTTTTTTATTAATTTTCATAATAAATTCTTTCTTCATTGTAAAGAATTCTTAATTAGTTATTTTGCTTTTAAAAAAATATCATATTCAATTTTGACATTAAATTCCTTTTTATTAGAGTTTTGCCTTTATTAAATTAGTGCTGCGAGAAATTTCCGACGCGAGAGTAAATATGACGATGCACTGACTAGTATTCGGTGGGAATCCTTTTGGTTTTTAAACTCAATCCTTTTTATTATTTAATTAATCAAATTAGTTACAAGGATTCCGCGGCATAAGACCGTGAACACCATCTCTGGGAGATATACCCATGCATTACTAGGCCTTTGCAGGCGCAGCTTTAGAATACGGAACATATGAAAATATGTTACCATATTCTAAACTGTAGTCCTTTTGTCTATACTATGGGCGTCCGTCAATCTGACACCGTTGGATGCAACGTGTTGGACGGGCGGGTAGCGCTCTTAGCGAAGGGGTGCACTCTGTCCTGGCGTTACGACGTCCAGGCGGGGTGGGTGGTATGTAGCGTCTGGCGTAAGTCTAGGGGGCGTGAGACCCCTCGTTGCCAGCTGATATTAGCAGTGCACCATGTTTGCGTCATAGTTGCTCTATTCTGCTTTTCAGTATTTGTTCTTAAAGCTTTACATTTACAAAGTCGAGTCACTTTTATTAAAATAGTGAAATATTAGCCCGTTAGATGTTTATGTACTAATCATGTTTATAGATCAGGATTTTCAGGTTTAACCCCTTCCGTGTTTATTGCCAAAGCCCATTCACGTGCCCAGGTGCTACTTGGATGGGTAGAGGCAATGGGCACGATGACCTAGTTCATAAGAATAATAATTAATAAGCGGCTGGCATTGTGTTAGTATATCGTGCACGACGTAATTTCCACATATGGTGTGTGTGTTTTTAGGCTGTGGGATTGCGTCGGTTTAATAAATTTTTCATTTAACTTTTAATTTGAAATAATATTTTATTCAATAAGATGTACAATGAACGTACAAACCAAATAGTATTATTACC